CCAAGGGGTCATGACTCACAGGTTGAGAACCACTGCCCTAGAGCTAAAGCAGCCTCTTGCACAACTACAACACAGGTCTCAAAAACAGGTCAATTGACATGGACACAGCTCTCTTCTGTTGTATATTCAGATTGCACCAGTTGTCCCACCACTGTTCCTTAAAGCCAGTGCACTTTCTAGACTGTCTCCAAACAAAGAGCTCTTGGGGTACTTGTTCATATTCTGGGACATTAGTAAATGAACTCAGCTCAATCTGCTTTGTTTATACGTAAAGCAAGCATCTACTTATGTACGATGTCACATAAGCATCAATTCAAATAGTTTATGAATGAGGACTTTGGTTTTGTTGTTTGGGTTTTTTTCTTAGTTACCTTACATTTTCCTTCCAAAAGAATTTATTAGCAGATCTTATTTGTCACTTGAAATTAGAAGATCAAGGTTAAGTCAAGTTCCTGTAAAAGACCTTTGGTTCTGCCATGACAACTTACCTCTCCCGCCATAGCATGAAAGCAGCCAGGGCGAAGTGTAAGCACATGGGTGTGTTCAGTCAAACTTAATTTGTGGTCACTGTGTTTTGAATTGAAATTTTATATCGTTTTTACATTATGGAATAGCGGTCTTTTGATTCCACCACCAGTATAGTTTAGACATGTAAAAAGCTCTCTTAGCTCATAAGCCACCACCATTGCCACAAAGTTGATGTCCAATTATAGTGACCCTCTGGGAGCAGACCAGTCAGCCTCATATTTATCCTTGGAGAGGCTGGGGGGTCTGACCCGCTAACCATACAGTTGGCAGTCCATGCTTATGCTACAGCACCTCCTGGGCTGCACACATGTGACAGGCTGCGCCTGTCCCACAGGATGTAGTTTACTAACCCTCGTAGTAGGTTATGGTAGTTGATTTCTGCATCTCAGGCCAGGAAACCTGAAAGCTAATGTCACCAGCCATCATTTATTGAGTGTTCAGAGTGAGGGGTTAAAAGCACTAGGCTGCTGGAGCTGTTGGTGGGGAACATGTCAGATTTGGAGCTCGGCAGGAAGTGGGTCCTGTGCTTGGCCGATGCTGTTGTGAAGATAGGTACTGGTTTTGGATTAGGGATTATTTTCTCCCTTACCTTCTTTTAAAGAAGAATGTGGCCACTAGCCTTTGGTTCTGGCATGGGATTGGGGGTGGGCTACTCCAACTATCAGCACAATTTCCAGGCTCCATATCTTCTTCATGGAAAAGTTGTCAAAGAGCAATGGCCTGAGACCGTCCCATTGGGAGGAAAAAAGAGAAATCGTGTGTGTTCCTCAGGCATATTGAAGTGCCCTGGAGTCAGCTGACATTCTTCTGAACAATGTGATCGGTAACGCTTTATACTCCAGCACACTGCTTATGCATTTGAAACTAAGTCTGTTTCTTGTTTTGTATTTTCTCTCTGGAAATTGCAAGGAGGTGGTCTTACGATCTTAAAGGAAATAAACAATAGGCAGCCTCCGCCCCACCCCCCGCCCCCCAAAAAAGCACTAGGCTGCTAATGAAAGCTCCCAGGCAGACAGATGTGGAGTCAGCTTCTGGACAGAGAGCCGCTTTGGGAACCTAATGGAGCAGTTCTCCTCTGTTCTTTAGGCTCACTATGAATGGGAGCTATGGTGTTACTTTTAACATATCAGACACTGCATGCATATTATTTGTAATCCTTACAAATCCCATCCACAGATTGTATTGGATTGATATTTTTCATGCACCCAGTGAGGTACCTGAGATTCAAATGAAGCATTTTGCCATATTAGTCATTGTTGAGTTGGCATTTGGGTATCAGTATCTGACTTCAAAGCCCAGGCTCTTTCCACTGGCTACTACCCATCACTGAGCTTTGAGAATGTCTGATAACAAATTTCAAACTAATTAAATTAGTACCACCCAAGGGGCAGGCAAAAATCATGTGCCCTGAGAGGGCCCTGTCTCTCTTGACTGTCCAGTCAAACGCCTATATAACCTGTTACTAAGTGATAAGGGAACATCAGATACAGCCAATTAGAGGGAATTTCTACATACCCACTAGCATTAATTTTTCTGAAATGACAGTGCTAAATCATAGAAGATAGATGGAGGCAACTGTTCCAGATTTTAAAAGATTGAAGTGACATAAAACAATGCGATGTGTGGTTTGGGGTGGATTCTACCTGGAAGGGGCTGGGGGGTGGGGTGAACTATATCAGGCATTATTGGGGCATTTGGGAAAATTGGACTTCACACTATAGATAATGTATTAGATCATTGCTTAAGTATCTTAGTAAGAATTGTAATGTGGTTATGCAAGAAAATAGGCTGTTAGGACATATATGCTCAACTATTAAGGAACCTGTGGTATGCAGACTGTTCTCAGATAATTCTGTTGAGGGGGGCTATGGGGGAAGGTAAAAGTGACCAAAAAATGTTACTGGATGCTTAATCTGTGGGTGAAGAATACCTGTTCTTTGTATTGTCCATGCAAGTTTTCTATTAAGTCTGAAGGTTTTTTAGAATTAAGTAAACTTAAACATTCATGTTGTTTTAACTGTTCTGCTAATAATTAGTTTTAAACCACTGAGGATTTTGTATCGAGTATAATTTCACTACTCTAATTTTTTCACTATCGTCTTTATAAACAGCTAAGTTCTGCTTTAACCTGGCTGCAGAAGTCTGCCATGGCTTCGAAGAAGCCGGGCTTTAAAACACAGCAGCAAGATACAGATCTAGGAGCAAAGTAACTCTGAACAGAGAAATGATTGTGTTGTGAAACAAGGTTTCAAATGTTGCTTCAAAAAGAATTGTTTTCTGTTTTTATTTAGATATTTTATGACCTGGTCAGACAGATAAATAGAAAAACACCAGTGGAAAAGAAGAAGCCTAAAAAGAAATCATGCCTGCTGCTCTAGGTCCCCAGGAAGCAGCAGCTCTGAGCCAGGTAAGGTGCTGAAAGCAGCACCACTGCCTTCCTCCTCCTCCTCTGTGATCTGTGCCTGTTGGATCTCTGCCCTGAAACTAAGCTCGGTGACAGCCCGTTGTGGTCACCATCATGTCCCCAGAGTCTGGCACACAGTGACTGACCAGTCCTCAAAAAGAACGTGCGTTGAAGGGCGGCTGTGGTTCATCTGTGGAAAAGAAGGCCTGTGTGCACATTGGACGATTATCCCCAAAGAGCACACCTGTGCAAGCCACAGGCACTCCTCCCAGGTGTACTCCCTCCTCCATTTCATGTTTGAACACCCTTAGTTTTCCTGCTTTTTCATGTTACAGAAATAAGAACATTGATTCATATCTGGCTTCTCTAACTCCAAGACAGATTTCTGAAAGTGACCGGTGTTGCACTTGAGTGCATTTGTGTGGTATGGACTGTGCTGGCAATATCTATCCGAGGGACTCCCAAACCGTTGGTGGGAGGATTCCATCATCTTCGCACTCTCGGCAGCCCCCTCATACAGTCTGCTACTGTTGGCTACTTGGATTCTTTCCTTTGGAACTAGACGAGTGTGGGGATTCTGCTCTGCACATTCTTGTCCTTGTCTCTGCACACCTTTCATGCATCTCTTTTAGATATTTATCTGGAGGTAGAATGGCTGAATCGTCAGCTCATGGAGAGCTTATTGGATCCTGTGAAACGTTTTGTCTGTGGTTGTACCAGTTTGCACACCACCTGGTGGGTGGTGGGTATCCTTGTCAGCGGTTGGTTTGGGTAGTCATTTTCTCCCAGGTACGTGTTTCTTTCCAATAAATGTGGCATCTGTAGACTTCCAAGTAGTAGTTGACTTGAAATACTACTTGAGTTTTTATTAAAATGAATCAATCCATTGGCGACAGCATAAAATCAGCCTATCAAGTGGGGAAACCAAGCCCCGTGAGACCAATTACTTGTCCTTTAGTTGATGTTTAAGTTCCTCCAAAACAGTTTCTAGTGTTTCATCAACTCTACGCACAATGCCATAAAATAATACTATCTTTTTATATAAAGTAGTATTTTCATGGAGTGGGTTTGTGATGTGATTTGGTGCTATTTCTATGCTCATTGCTAAACTGGCATGCAGTTAGAAGTCAGTGGTTCCCACTTGAGAGTTGTTGCACTGACTTGGGTAAGTCTGTCTCTCAGGCCCATTTAGTAGATTCACTTCTCCCAGAACACCACATTAACTAAAGTGTGCTTCTCTAGAGAGGTGAGTGGAGACCTCTCTGAGGACTGTACACCTTTGTAAGTGAAGGGAGAGGTAAAGGGCATGAGGATGCCGTCCATGTCAGAGAGGCAGCTTTCAGCCAGATAATGGTATGGACGTTTAGTGATGGAAAACTAAGCCATCAACTCCCTGAAAGGGAGTATAGTTAAGGCTGTGGATGTTTGTGTTGTTTAGCTAAAGATGCAGGGGTCGGGAAAATGGGGACTCCGGTTCTTAAATCTATGATCAGCCTCTCAGGTTTGACTGGTTCATCGATGACATTGCTTTAGTGTCTGTCTGGTTTCGTTTCCAGTTGTTAGAAAACACCTTGTTGGCTTATGGAGGAAGAGGTGCCACCTCCTGGCTGTTGTGATTTTAAAACTGATGAGCACATAGCTAATAGCAAGCACTGTCCTGTCTGTGAGTTGTGCTGTAGTGGAGCGGCATCCTGACCTACATCCGAAATAAAACTTCCACCCTGGATGCCTGAACTCCTCAACTCCTCCTTCCACTCACAGTATATGGTTCTCTCTGCGTGTTGGACAACACCCACCATAATGGCCCAGGTAGCTGTCGGGATTCTCTGCAGCGTGTTGTATTGTGATAGACCCCAAGTGCCGTGGTGTTCCTGTTCCCAGAGGGCCAGCTACAGGGTGGACTTAAATAGCCTTTGCTAGCACAGTATTTCCCAGGAGTACATGGACCTGGAGGGCAACTTATCTAGCCTGTATCCTTTACGCAAACTTGTATCGAAACCTTGTTAATATAGCTCCCTTTTAAAAAAACAGGAAAATCCCTCTTTAGGAGGCTTTTGCCTTTAACCTAAATTCTGTTCAGCTTGATTCGTCTGCCCTTGAATATAAGTTGGTCTTCTCAGCTGAAAAGAATTAGGTTAAAGGCCTTGAACATTGGAGCCCTGGTGGTGTAGTGGGTTATCTGTTGGGCTACTAACTTCACGGACAGCAGTTTGAAACTACCAAGCCATTCTGAGAAAGAAAGACGAGGCTTTCGACTCCCATAAAGAACGAGTTACCGTCTCAAAATCCCCTGTTCTATAGGGTCACTGTGAGTTGGCATAGACTCTATGGCTGTGAGTGAGTGAGTGAGCCCTTGATCTTGGATTTCAGCTCTTCCCTGAATTAGAAATGGTAATCCTAATATATAGGAAGGGCTCACAAGGTTCAGGAAAAGAATAGAATTTTTTTTTAATAAGTCATTTTACTGGGGGCTCTTACAGCTCTTATAACAATCCATACATCCATTGTATCAAGCACATCTGTACATATGTGGCCATCATCCTTTTTTCCATCAAGCACATTTGTACATTTATTGCCCTCATTCTCAAAACATTTGCTTTCTATTTGTGTCCTTGGTATCAGCTCCTCATTTTTCCCCGCCCTCCTCCCCTCATGAACCTTTAATCATTTGTAAATTTTTATTATTTTGTCGTGCCTTACACTGTCTGATGTCTCCCTTCATCTGCTTTTCTGTTGTCTGTCCCCCAGGGAGGGGGTTATATGTAGATCCTTGTAATCGGTCCCCCCTTTCTACCCCACCTTCTCTCCACCCTACCGGTATTGCCACTCTTTTTTTTGGTATTGCCACTCTTACCACTGGTCCTGTGAGGATCATCTGTCCTGGGTTCCCTGTGTTTTTAGTTCCTATCTGTGTACATCCTCTGTTCTAGTCGGATTTGTAAAGTAGAATTGGGATCATGGTAGTGGTGGGGATGAAGCATTTAAGAACTAGAGGAAAGTTGTATGTTTCATTGGTGCTACACTGCACCCTGACTGGCTCATCTCCTTCCTGTGACCCTTCTGTAAGGGGATGTCCAATTGCCTATAGATGGGCTTTGGGTCCCCACTCCACGCTCCCCCTCATTCACAGTGATAGGATTTTTTGTTCTTTGATGCCTGATACCTGATCCCTTCGACACCTTGTGATCACACAGGGTGGTGTGCTTCTTCTATGTGGGCTTCTTTTGCTTCTGAGCTAGATGACCGCTTGTTTATCTTCAAGCTTTTAAGACCTCAGATGCTATATCTTTTGATAGCCAGACACCATCAGTTTTCTTCACTGCATTTGCTTATGCACACATTTGTCTTCAGTGATCATGTAGGGAAGGTGAGCATCGTAGAATGCCAGTTTAATAAAACAAAGTGTTCTTGCATTGAGGGATTACTTGAGTGGAGGCCCAATGTCAATGTGGTACCTTAATACTAAACCTACAAATAATGCACATAGATCTATTTCCCCATCATCATATAGAAATATGTACATACCTGTATTTAGACCTCTATAAATGCCCTTTGCCTCCTAGTTCTTTCCTCTATTTCCTTTTACTTTCCTCTTGTCCCACTATCATGCTCAGCCTTCATTTGGGTTTCAGTAATTCCTCTCAGTTATGTTGCATTTACCTTTGATTAGTCCCTACCAGGCCTCATACACCCCCCTCGCCACTGATTTTGGATCACTTATTGTTCCCTTGTCCCTGGGTTTGTTAACACCACTTCCTTCCCCACCCCCTTCTTCCATGTGTTCCCCTCGCCATCGGTCCCATTATTTTCTCCTCCAGATTGTTTATCCAGCCTATTTTATCTAGATAGACCTGCAAAGATAATAATATGTGCAAAAATAAGACAGAGAAAAACAAAGCAACAAAAAAACAATAACAACAAACCAATGACAAAAAAAAGCCTGTAAGTAGTTGACCTTTAGGAATGTTTTCCGGTAGAGTCTGATGGGGTGCCACGCCCTGGCCCCAAAGTCTATTTTTGGAATTCCCTCAGGACTTCTTTGCTCCCTTGCTGTTCTGTTGCATGGCCTTAGTGTTTTGCCTCGGTGTGATGGGGTCAGATTGGGTGCATTTCCCACGCTGTGTCTCCAGTGTTGTCCCCTGTAGGGCTATGGGTCAGTGAGGGATGTTGTGTCTCTTAGTGGGCCTAGTCATGTGGTCCTCCCTGGATTGACTGCTCTGAGCAGGGATATCGTCCTCCAGGCTTGGTAGGCCAGGATGTGCTCCACTCTCTTCCTCCCTCTTTATTTGTTCCCGTGTGCTCTGATCAGACATGTTCCTCTCCCTGGATAATAGCTTCAGTGCTGTCCTCTGAAGTAAATTCTTCTGGGGGGAGGGGCAGCTGTCCACATAGTTGGGATTGGGGCCGGCCCCTCAGACTCTCCACTGGTTCCCTGCTTCATGCCAGTCGGTATGTTGCATTCACATCTTGGAGCACTGGGTTGAAGGGCAGAATGGAATTTTTAAATAATCTTTGGCAAACTTTTTGAAGCCCCCTCATACGATCATAAAATGAATGAATGAAGACATTCCAATGGAATATAATCAGGCAGTTTGTGTTTACTCAGTAGAAAGGGAACTTTTAAAAATAAAATAAGGTGATAGCAGCGGAATATCACGTATCACTCTCTTCTTTACAGACAGAGCTGTCAGACTAACTCTGAAATAATAAGCACAGTGAAATTCAAGATTGTCAGATTTGATCAATTAAAGACTTCCCCTCCTGTAAACTCAGTCTTATGATGGGATTTTATTTGTTATTATTAAGAGGAGAGAATTTTAAACAGCCCTGCTACTGTAACTTCTGTATAATCTAGTGTTCTAGCAGTGATCAGCCAAAATCATTGTTTCTTCTTCTATTACTGCATATCTTTTGTTTTCTAAAATTATCTAACATTAAGCAATTAGCTGTGTCTAAATGTGTGTGTCCATTTATTCCAGACTACAGGAATGAAGAACTGTTGCCTAATTGGAAAGTGCCAGCATTCCAGACTTCAAAAAACAAATCTGAAGAGGCTTCTCCTGTTTTATATATTATGTGAAGAATTTAGATCTTATATTGGTTTGCACAAGTTCCCTGGAGAGAAAAAAAATTGCTCTGTGTATATCTCTTGGAAAATAAGACAATAGTATTTCTCCTTTGCAATAGCAGTTATAACAGATGTGAAAGTAAATATACTTGACTCTAATATGATTATACAAAAGAGCATGGATGCATTTCAAATGTTAGATATTGCTACTATAATCAAATGATTTCATATTGACCTTTTTATCATGATTCCTCCCTGTCAAGCACTAAAAAGTTGAACCATTATACTTTATATCTGTAATGATATAGATTATGAAATTCCCCTCAAACTCATTGCAGCAGATAACTTTTTTGAGTCATTGACTTCATTTTATATTTAAAAAAAATTATGAAATATCATTCTGTCATTATATTCTAATTAAAATTGTTTGTGCATAATGCTTTGGAAAAATGGGTCTTTTATAGGAAAAAACTGGGATAACTGATTTCTATGGCTTTCAAAGCTAAAATATATAATATACTAAGCCAACTCTAATATTGCTTCTTGTGTTTTACTGTCAGATTAAATTACAGCTTTTATGAATGATTAAATTTTAGTACATTTTCATTTGGTTTGTGTGTTCTGTTATTGTGTATAGATTTCAGGCTGTTATTTTGTAATGACCAGATTGTTTTCTATGCCGCAGAACCCCTTCCTGCCTGGTGCCTGCAGAACAGGGCTTTAACCCCCACAGAATAACCTGCGATGCCTTCAGGGCTCACCTCAGGTGTCTGCTCTGGGTGCTGGCATCCTCCCACACTGAGAGGGACAGCCCTCCTCACACAGTAGTTTGGTGCACACTCTCTTGATCTGAAAGATTGTATCTTGTTAAATGAAAAACACCCCACTGTGATTTTTATATGCAAAAAGATACGTTTAATGTGGTTTCAAGGTTTAACTTGCACTGTTTTCCCTCTGCCACAGCTTGTCATCCTTTGTCATTGTTAATGCGCTGGCTGTAGAGTCCGTATTGACATGTTAGGTGAAAATTCTCACACTGGCTTTAGAACAGAGCAGCGGATTTGAAAGGAGAAAGTGAGAAGTTGAAAGGCTTGAGGGAAATACCCGCCCATTACTTTGGCTGAGCCTGTACACAGAGTAGGGTAGTAACAATCTGAAGAAGATTTTCACTGATTTTAAATCTAGCTGAATGTACAGCGGTGCTTTTCCTTCCCGGTTCCACACACACATGCGCGCGCAAACCATGCAAGGGGTGGGCTTGGGTGTGGGGCACCATCTGTTGCAGTCTCCAGAAAGGGGGAAGCAGGCAGCTTCTTAGCCGGGTGAGTGCCATAGATGGAGCAACCCGCCTGGGAAGCCCTGTCCCTAGTCCCTGCATCACGGGGCCCGTCGTCGTCGTTGCTCCGGGAGCTAGGTGCTGGTTAGAGGCACAAAGTGTGTGTTCCTGCTTCACTGAGGTTTCCAGGTGTGCGGTCAGCCCTCTGGTTACTGTATTCCTGAGGAAATGTGGAAATACCATGAAACATATTTGAAAATTGTATTCTAAGTTTCAAATAAACCTATTTACCTAATGCTGCCCTTCGAATGATCCAGTTATGCATACAGGGGTTACCAAAAAAAGAAAACTGTAAAACTCCACTGGGCAGAGCTTTGCTAATACGCGTTTTCCCCACTGGGCGTGCATTGAGCAACTCCCTCTGAGTTAGAGCGCCCAGTGACACCTCCTGGGAAAGTTCTCTGGTCACAGTGAATTTTTTCGTAAAAGCAGTTTTGCTTGAACCTCATTTTTATGATGCCCAATTAAAGAGAATAGCTTGGGGCTCTAAAAGTTTGTTTCCTGCTTGGGAAAAATGCCACAGAAACTGTTGTAATGTTGAACGCACTGTGAGTGACCAAAAAGCCCTGATTTGTGGCAGATGGGGGGCCGATGCACCTGCTCAGCCAGCCATCTCAGTGTGCCAGTTTTTGGCAACAAAACAGCATGCTTCTCTTGCCCCACACACCTCACTCATCTGACCTCACTCCATGAGACTTCTTTTTGTTTCTTCGCATGAAGAGGGACATGAAAAGAACCATTTGAAGACATCGAAGAGGTGAAGAAAAAAACGAGGGATGTGCTCTCAGCCATCCAAACAGATGAGTTTGAAAAATGTTTCCAAAAGTGGAATTGCAGATTTGACAAGCGTATTAAGTATAATGGAAAGTATTTTGAAAGATGATAAGATTTTTTTTTTAATTAAATACATAACTGAACATTTGGGTTTTCTCATTTCAAAAAAGGTGAAATAGCAATTACTGACAAACCTTGTTCTGGACATTGGTCAACTTCCCAAATGGACGAAAATGTCAACTCATAATGCATAATTTTGGGTGTTTTTTTTGTTGTTGGTACCCCATTGTGTCTGGGATCAAGGGACCCAAAATATAATAAATCCTTTTGTTTTATTTTTAATGAGTGATACATTAGGGCCAGTGTGTCCAGGCAAGGTAGCATGTTTTATTTTTAGGGCCCCTAAAGTCACTCTGCTTTAAAACTCACCATGTAAACATTTCATTCCTTAAAGCGTTGGGCATCTCATAATCCAGTAAAACTTCTAAATCGTGTAGTCATTTACCACATGCCTAAGCAGAAGAAGACTAGCATGGGCCAAACAGCAGTGCGGGACAACCGGCGTCTCATCAATGCTGTGCCCGCCTTCGGCAAGAAGAAGGGCCCTAATGCCAACTCCTAAGTCCTTTGGAACGCTGGCTTGCTCTCATAAAGCCATTTAGTCCAGCCAAAACCAAAACCAGAGTAACTCCAAACTGCAGTCTACCCTCACTCTTAGCTTAAACCCATTTTTCTCTCTTAAAGCCTGTTAAAAAAAAGATAGTAGGAACAGAATTCCTTTGTCCCTTCGCCATGTCTACATCTCATCTCGTACAATCCACATGGGTTAAAGGTAGAACTGCCCAGAGGAAAATACCGCTTTTGAGCACACAAGACCAAATGAAATCAGATGTGCATTACTATATCAAAAAAGTCTCACTCACATGGGTTTCTGAGACTGTTTATGGGAATAGAAAACCATCGTCCAGTGGAGTGACTGGTGGTTCCAGACTGCCAACCTTGTGGTTAGCAACCTGTCGTGCAATGCACTATGCAACCAGGCTCCTCCTATGTCAAGGGCGCTACGGTTAACTGACGAGGCTGGAACAGTATCCTGTTTGGAGGTGAGTTCAGGGTGTTTCTAGTGTCCCTGTGTGAATCCCTTGCAAGACCTCTGGTGGCCTGGTTGGTTGTACCAGGTTGGCAGGTAACGCACCAGCAGCTTCAGGACAGGCTGCTGACTGCTCCATAACAGTGTACAGCCTCAGCCCTCAGAGTGGAACTACATTTCCACTCACCTTACAGGATCAGAAGCAGTCCAGGCAGTGGGTTTGACTTGTGTTTGGGTTGTGCGAACTCATGGTTAATTCCAGGGAAAGAGCCTAAAAGTTCATTGTGATTAGAGAGAAAAATATCTCATTGTAACCATTTGTAAGTGCATTTCTCTTGCATTCTAATCACAATGAACTTTTAGGCTCCTGTTTCTCTGGAATTAACCATGAATTACACTCACCCTATACAGTTATCACCACTGACCATTTTGAAATGTTTTTTCCATCACCCTAAATAAAAACTTAGTAAACCCCTTATGTAATAACTCCCCAGTTCCCCTGCCCTCAGCCCCTGGAAAACAGCAATGGCCGTTTGCTTCTTTGCAGATGCCTATTAAGATGTATCGTGATAGCTGAAGAATTAAACCCTTCTAGAATATTCCATGAATCTTATGTGCTCAAAATCCAGGAACTGATACTCTTATCAGTATTTGTGGATTTATAGACAGCTTCAGTTATATACGTAACATAATTTAAAGGAGGCTTAATGCTAATGAAAGAATGCTTTCCACCAAAACAAAACACGAATGGCATGTTCGTGCCCCCAAACGAGTTTTAGATTTAACAGTAAATGCATCTACCTGACTTCGCTCATACCCCCCACCAGGTGGAGCTTCAGTACCAGTGAACGCTTCTACAACCATCTGGTGAAAATTATATATTCAAGCCATCTATCCACACGGTGTGCCTCACAAAGGGGCAGGCGGGAGGTTTCCTCTAAGCTCGTCATCTTACTAGGCTGGGAGGATGTACCCGCAAAATGTATGAAGGACAGGAATAACTTCCTGCTAATGGAAGTTTAAACAACCCACCAACCAGTCCATGGGAGGATCCGGAGGCTGCCAGCTCACATCAGGATTGACAGCCTCAAACCCTGCAGAGCCAGAGCAGCCATTCTTCCTGGCCCACTCGGGTGCTGTCAATGGGAACCATTCGACAGCAGTGCGTTCGGGGTGGCTTACAGAGCTGGCCCCAGGGGGCATTCTCTGGAATGGCTAGACGTGGCATATGCCTGTGTGGCACCCTTCTACTCTTCCGTGAGACAATCCTGCTTTAGGTTACAATGTACTTGGGAAGAGTTAACCTTTAAGGAAATTCCATCTTTCATTTTTGTCACCAACTTTATTGAACTTCACAGATGACTTTCAGGGGAGCTGTTTTTTCCATCTGTAATTGGTAATGAACCACCCTGAATCTTGGAGACTTCTGCCCGTTTCAGTTACCCTCCCAGGTCAAGTGTGTGTGTGGTTACGGCTGAGGTCACCCAGCCTTAGGATGGAGGAATCGCGAGACTTGTGGGACCCGCTCAGTGTTTTCCTCTGCTGGCAGCCCTGGTAGCAGGTTAAGGAGACAGACTTGGCTTTTTTAGACATCGTGTGTGGGGTGAAGCCGAAGGGGAGAATTTGGGAGGAGGAAAGTAGCCTATGAAGTGACCTTTTGTGTTGAGCCTTGTGCCTCATTCGAGGTGCTGCTTGTGTTCCAATAACCCTTCTTGACTGCAAATAGAACAGGGCCAAGTGGCTTGGGTGCCCGGCCAGGGATTGAGAGGAGCCCATCTTGCAAGGAGGGCCATGAATGCAGGCTTTGAGGCAATCTGACTGCCCAGCCTGTTGCATTTACATCCTCCAAAATGTAAAGAATGTGAGTTATTCTTGAAAACAGCACAGACATTGCATTGACGGGGAATTTGCTTACTGCGATTTCATCTTGGGCTTGTTGAGCATGCTTGTCTGTGTACTGCCCCGTCTTGCTTAAATATTCTGGTTGAGAACAGCTGGGGGCTCTTTGGAGCCGGGTCCCTCATTCCGTTTTCTAAGAAGGTAACATGGATTTTATTTGCAGACGCTCAGAAGGGCTTGAAAGGGAAGTGGAGGAGGCTGGGCCTGTGGGCTTGTTTAAGAAGAGGCCCCCTGTGGTTCGGGCCCCAAGGTGTGCCCTGCATTTTCTTGTTAATTGCTTCCTATAAGAAGGGAGAATGTGGCTGTTTTCTCTTGAGAAAAAGCCTTAATAAACCTTCCCGGTTTAAGCAGTGATGTGACTCAGATTTTGAGCTTTTGTTTTTCAGTGCATCTTTTAAGAGCTTAATGATGTCCAAATCCTTTTTTTTTTATCGTTTTATGAGGGGCTCATACAACTCTTATCACAATCCATACATACATCAATTGTGTAAAGCACATTTGTACATT